GCAGGGCCAGGGGACCCCCGGCCCACAAGTGCAGCCTCACGTCCAGTCCTGGTCCAGGCAGGACAAGGAGGCTTGGATCAAGGACAAATACGTGGAAAAGAAGTTCGTGCGGAAGCCGCCCTCGGCACCGGCCCGGGAGGCCCCACGGCGCTGGCGGGCGCAGAAGTGCCCACGCCACCACAGCTCCCCCCGTGCCCACACCACCCGCCGCAGCAAAATCCGGATGGAGCCCGTCCCGCCCTCTGTGGCTGCTCTGTGCTCAGGTGGGAGGGTCTGGCAGGTGCGCCCCAGCTCACAGGCCTGGGCAGGGCGTGAGCCTCCAGACTCTGGATCCCAGGGAGGCCGGGGTGTGGGGGGGTGGTAGGAGGCGGGGGCAGGGCTCAGGGGCACCCCAAGCTCTGCCCACCTCCCACCACAGCCTGGTTCCTGCCCTGCAGGCTCCACAGAGCCCAGGTTCCGCAGGGACTCCCTCTTCTGCCCGGATGAGCTGGACTCCCTCTTCTCCTACTTCGACGCGGGGGCTGCTGCAGCCGGTCCACGCAGTAAGTCCCCTGCTGCCCACCCCCCCCCACCCACACCCCCGCTCAGCAGGGGCAGCAGGGCAGGAGCCAGGCACGCTCGCCTGGAGGGTGGATGAGTGCGGGACAGCCTCGGCCACTCGCTCAGGGACCGGAGGGACGGGCTTTCCTTGCAGGAGGGACTGGTCTGGGGATGGGGAGAGTTTGGAGGTCAAGCAGGGCTGAGGCTGGGACAGTATCTTGAGGGGCCGGGGGTAATTTGGCCACTGGCTTGGAGGCTGGGGCCGTGACCCTCAGGAGTGATGTGGGCGCGTGTGCTGTGGGCACACAGGAATGTGTGTGTAAGGGTGTGACTGTGCATACAGGTGACCACCTGTGAGTGCATAGGTGTGTATATGTGTGGGCGTGTGCCCATGCACATGTGCACGTGCCTGCTGGAGGCTGGACCGGATCCTGAGAGACAGTTGTGTGCATCTTCCCCAACCCCTGCTGGAGTTGGGGGTGCAAATGCTACAAGTCAGGGCTTACCCCGTTAACCGTCTGTCAGCACCCACCGGCCTGGGGCGTGTGGGCAGAAGGCGTAGGTCGGGGCCAAGAACTGGCCAGGCTGCTGGGGTGACGGAGGTCCCCTCAGGCAGCAGAGAGCGCTGTCTCACCACCCCTCAGCCTGGTTTCATCTGTGAGGGATGCCCTTGGGTGAGCAGGGCCAAGTTCGCTCGCTGTGGCCTGGGGCTGTGTCTGGGGCTTGGCAAAGACCCCACCTCTGGGCGGTGACTGCCTAGCCTGCACCGGCCACAGCTAGGGCTGACCTGAGAGGGCGGACTTCCACCTGTGGCTGTGCTTCTGGGGGACAGGCGATACTGGCTCTCTCAAGCTGTTACTTGATTCTCTCCCCTTTCCTCCCATTCTGGGCAGGGCTCCCCTCTCCCTCACCCCCCAGCATCCCCCGGAGGGTGGGTAGGGTGCCAGCCTTCCCGCAGGGCTGTGGGAGCAGGGCTGTGGGAGCAGGCAGAAGCGCTCAGGACCTCCTCTGCTTGCGTACCCTGCAGGTCTGAGCAGCGACAGCGGCTTAGGGGGCAGCTCCGACGGCAGCTCGGATGTCCTGGCCTTCGGCGTGGGCTCCGTGGTGGACCGCGTCACTGAGGAGGGTGGGTGTGCAGCTCCCCAGTCCCGGGCCACCTGTCCCCCACTGCGGGCCAGGTCAACGGCCCTGACCGCCCCCTCCTCGCAGAGGGTGCCGAGTCGGAGGAGTCCAGCGGCGAGGCAGATGGAGAGGCGGAGGCCTGGGGCCTGGCGGACGTGCGCGAGCTGCACCCCGGGCTACTGGCGCACCGCGCGGCGCGCACTAGAGACCTCCCCGCACTGGCTGCGGCTCTGGCGCAAGGAGCCGAGGTCAACTGGGCTGACGCGGAGGACGAGGGCAAGACGCCGCTGGTGCAGGCCGTGCTGGGGGTAAGTGGGCGCGGGTTTGCACCCTTCCACGGCGCGCACGCGGGGCCCTCGCCCTCTGCTGAGGACCGGGCTCGGTCCTGCTGAGGCACCCAGGGAGGCGTGGGGCGGGGGTTGGGGGGTAGGGGGTGGGGGGACAGGGGCCCTGCAAGGGACCATTTCTGTGGCTCCGCTTGGTTTGAACCCACCCCCCACCCCACCCCCAGGGTTCCTTGATCATCTGTGAATTCCTCCTGCAAAACGGAGCGGACGTGAACCAAAGAGACAGCCGGGGTCGGGCGCCCCTGCACCATGCCACGCTCCTGGGCCGCACCGGGTGAGTCGTGGGTGGGCCGCACCCCTGCCCCCTCCTCCCCCACCCTCCCCTCCCACCCCTCCTCCCCCACCCTCCCCTCCCACCCCTCCTCCCCCACCCTCCCCTTCCCCACCCCCCCTTGCCCCCCGTGGACCCGGGTCGCCTGCCAGGACCTGCCCAGGGCCTGCCCCGACTTGCCCCTCCACCCTCAGCCAGGTCTGCCTGTTTTTGAAGCGGGGGGCGGACCAGCATGCCTTGGACCACACGCAGCAGGACCCACTGAGCATTGCGGTGCAGGAGGCGAATGCAGACATCGTCACGCTGTGAGCACAGCACGGGGGTGGCGGGGGCCGGGCGGCAGGAAGTGGGCGGCGGGTGGAAGCGCCTCACGTGGCCCTCTCTCCTCCAGTCTCCGTCTGGCGCGCATGGCCGAGGAGATGCGTGAGGCCGAGGCGCCTCCTGGCCAGCCGGGGCCCCTGGCTGGCAGCAGCCCCACCGAGCTCCAGTACCGCAGGTGCATCCAGGAGTTCATCAGCCTCCACCTGGATGAGAGCTAGGGTGGCAGGGCCTTGGCGGGACCCCCACTGGCCCATTTCCTGAGAGCCCCGGAGCTCCTGGAGCCCTGCTGCCTGCTCTGCCCCCCTCGGAGCTGCCCTGACCCCCACGGCCCAGAGCAGGACCCCAGCACTGAGTCTTCTGAAGCTCCATGTCTCCCCTGGGAGGTGCTGCATCACCCCACCCAGGGACCCTGTGTCTTCGGGTGACCCCTCCCTAGGGGGCCTGGGTTGGCTCGTGTCACAAACCACTCTCAAGGCCCCACATCACCTCGTGCCCCTCTCTGCTCCCCCAGGCCCTTGTCACCTCATGCCCCTCTATCCCTGGGGCCCATGCTGCTTGGTGCCCCACTCTGCCCTCAGGGCCTGTGTCACCTTGTGCCCCCACTTTACTGCCCAAGAACACTGACCTGCTAGTAGGGGCCCTCCCACATCCCCAGAACCCCTCCACTAGGCCCTGGGGCTGGTGGCTGGCCACCAGCACGTGGCGAGGGCAGAAGGGGCCGCCCATCCAGGGAATCAACCCGCGTACCTCACTTAGTGACCCCAGCATCCAGGCTGGGCTTCTTGGGTGCTTGGGGGGCTCTGGCCTGGGGCCTTAGCCCTGGCTGGGTGCGGATGTCCCGAGGCCGTGTGGCTGGCCATGCAGGCCCTCGTGCCCCGTAGCCCCACCCATTCCCCCCCCCTTTCCCACAGCGGGTGGCAGGGGTGTGGCTCTTCCCACCCCTGCATCCGACATCCTTTGTCACGGACTGAGGGGTTTTCTACAATGATCTCCTTCTCACTTTGTTTCACGTCTTTTCTCTGGACTCAAGGACCACTTTGACCCCCAGCTCTGCCTGCTGCTAGGGGAGGCGCCTGCAGCTCAGCCCTGCCCCCTCGCCAGCCTTCCCCCCCACCACCTCCGGCTAGACCCATGGGGCCTTGGCTCACTACCCAGGGCCCTCTGATGCCTTCTGCATTCCCCTTCCCAGAGCCCTGGGGCACCGGCTGGGCCTCTCCCCAACTCAGGCCCTCGGCCAGGCCAAGGCCAGTTGGTTGCTCACTATGCAAAGACTGCCCAGGGAGGCCCCATGGGCAGCAAGGTGGGTGCGGACTGGGCTCCCAGCTCCCTCTCCTGCTGGCTGTGACCCCTAGAGAGCAGAATCAATGCCTTCCTCTCTCCCTGCTTGAGCTCTGCCCCCGCCTCCCGCCCCACTGCCTGCATCAGAGCCTTTGCTGCGGCCTCGGCTGGCTGGCGGGACCCGCCTCCGTTGCAGATCACAGTTAATAAAGGGCCACTGGCACCTGCCCCCTCGCCTCGCCCACCTCACTCCGCTCTGTCTTGGCTGGGGACGGGGGCGGGGCGGTCTCTGCGTCCCCTGCTTTCCCCAAGGGGAGGCCCTGCGTGGGACAGCACCAGTCGTGACCCCAAAGCGTGTAGTAAGGCAGAGCCCAGTGCCCCTGCTGGCGGCCTCGTGGAAGCCAGGGCTGCTCTGATTAAAACCAACTCCTGATACCCCAGATACCCCATTCCCTGGCCCTCTGCTCTCCTCTGGGATGGACACCAACTGGCGAGGGTGCTCTGGCCCTGGCCTTGTCCCCTGGGCAAGCTCTGGCCCCACGCCCTCCCGTTCCCCAGCTCCCACCGTGTCCGTGACTGAGGATGTGGGGGTGTGGTCTGAGGTCTTCAGCTCGCTGCGGGGGTGGGGGGAGTGGGGGGGTGCGCAGCAGGACACACTACAGCCACCAGGTAGAATCATCCATTTTACTGCAAAGCGGGCCCAGGTCACTGAGTGCCCGGGCCTCGTCCTGCCCTTTCTCCCACTGGCCCTGAGCGAGGGGGGCTCTGCCCAATGCCTGCACACACCTGCACGGAGGTGTAGACAGACGTGTTGATGCTCGGAAACGTGGATGTATGACGCTGACACCAGACAAACACACTCTCTTGGGGCGCCCCCCCCCACCTCATGCACGCGCGCACACTCCTGCATACGGGAGATGCTCCGTCACGCCCTGAACGCGAGGATCCCGAGTGGTGGGGACACTCCCCTGCTCCCTGCCCCAGGCCTCCCTGAGACCTGTGAGGTCACTGCCCGGCAGGCAGCTGCGCTAAGAAGGCCCCATGTGCTAGTGCCTGGCGCCTTCCCGCCCTCGGGCTCTGGTGCCGCTGCTTTTTGGGCCCCGGGTATGGCTCGGCTGGCCGGCGGGGGGGGGGGGCCCTGTGGGGCGGGACTGGCCAGCCCTGGGGAGAGCCCACTGCCGCCACTACAGTGGGAGAGCCCACTGCCGCCACAGCTCCCAGGGTCAGGCCACTCGCAGGCTGGTTCAGGTGTCAGGAGTTTCCGGGGCCCACACCGGGCTGACCTCCAGCCAAGACCCCTGCCGGAGCCCCTGCAACATCATGGGAGGTGGAGCTGGGCCCCCGGGCGTTCGATGTCATGCCTGCAGCTACCCGGCCACCAGCCGGCCTCTGGCTCGGAGCGGGCATCCCCGTGGCTGCCCTGGGCTGGCCCCGAGCCCCACGGAGCTGGCGGCAGCACAGCAGCAGGGCGAGGGCCGCGGCATCCAGCAGCAGCTCCAGCATCTCCACGACTGAGAGGACACAAGAGCCGAACCGCAGGCTCCAGAGGCTGCCCGTGGCTGAAAGCAGCTGCGGCACATATGGGTGTTGCGGGCGGTGAGCGGCGCGCCCCGGGCGCCAGCCCTGCCCCACCCCCGCCGCTCGGCCCGGTGGCTCGCCCGAGTAGACGGGTGTCCTCGTCCACAGTGCGGTAGTTGAGCTCCTGGGAGAAGATGTTCACCTTGGCCAGGTTGCTCCTGGGGCAGGGCACAGGCGAGAGGGGCGGGGTGCAGGCGAGAGGGGCGGGGCCATCCCTGGGGGCGCTGGAGGGCGAGGATGGCAGGGGGGGGCACCAGGACATGACCTCAGCAGGAGGAGGCTGCACCCACCTGGGGCTCGGGCTCCAGGGGCCTGGTCCGCCCTGCACACACAAGGCTCACTGTGGCCGCGGCTCCTCCCCGGGCGCTGCGGGGCAGTGTGAGGGCAGGGCCTCGGGGACACAGGTCAGTCCGGGGAGGGCTCTCTGCCCATGAGGCCTCACCCCACTTCCGGGACTCACGGCTGACTTGGAGGAAGGCCAGCTGGAGGTCCCAGCGGAGAGCTTGCACGAAGACTCCCTGGGAGAGACAGACCCCGTCACATCCCTGCGAGGTGCCTCTGGGCGGACCCCACCCCGGCACTCCCCACTCCCCTGCAAGGCCGGGGGCAGCGGGAGGCGCAGGGAAGCCGGTGGGTCTCCAGGTCCTTGCAGAGGCGGCGGAAGCAGTGACCTGGGGAGGGGGTCATGGGTGAACCTGCTAGGAATGACCCAGGGGCGGTGGGGAGGTCTGCCCTTGACGGGGCAGCCTGGGACTATGCCCCCCGCAGCCCATGCAGGCCGGCAGGTTGGGGGGCTACCCCAGGCCGGGTGCCGCACGTTGTTGCAGTGCTCGGGCCCCGTAGGCAGGGGTTAGAAGAAGCAGCCGCAGGAGCGGGTCTCCACCATCAGCGGCCAGAAGCAGGAGACCAGGCAGGCCTGGGGGAACAGCGGGGAATGGAGCTGTGGGTCCAGGACCGCCGCCCCTCTCCCGGGCCTGCCGCCCGCCCACCTCCCTCCCACTGGCCTGTCCGCCCCCCAGCTCCCACTCTTTGCCTTAGCCCCCCCCCACTCCCCAACCCCCTCCCTGGGCCCCTCCCCCCTCCTTCATGCCCCCCAGGCCCCGCCTCACCTGCCTGGTGCAGGAGGCGGTGTACAGCAGCTGCACGTCCACGCCCCCCGTGCTGTCTGTGCAGTGCCCACAGGGGCTCCCGAGCCGGTGCCCCTTGTCCTGGGGGGAGGGGGTGCAGTTCAGTTCTGCCGCCCTGCCCTGGAGCTCCCGAGGCCCCAGGTTTGGGCACGGAGGCCAGGAGCCTTGAGGCTGGGCGGCCCAGCTCTCGGAGGTGGTCTCAGTCCCTGGCCGATGCTGAAGCCCCCCGGCGCTCCAGGAAGGGCGTGTGGTCACGCGTGTGGATCACGACTTTGATGCCGGCCTCCGTGGGCAGCAGAAGGTGATCCCGCTGCTTCGCCCCGAAGGCCAGGCTGACCCCTGGGGGAGGCCGGGGGTGAGGCCAGGCCGGCCTGGACACCCCGCCCACACCCAGCCCAGGCTGGCACTCAGTGTGGGCGATGTCGGGGTGCTGCGCGGCCCAGACACCGTTGAAGGTGTAGCAGCTGCCATAGCTGGGGTGGTGCGAGGTCTGGAAGTGTCTGGAACCAGGGGCCACGCTCAGACCCGCACATACCCCTGACCCATCACCCTGTTGTGTGCAGCCCCGGGGTTGCAGGGAGGGGACCACAGCTGCCTTATCTCTGGAGGGAGCCGTGGGGCCGGCAGACCACTGCATGGGGCGTGGCGGGGCGAGCAGCCACCCACCTGCACTCACTGGGCCTGGCGGTCCTGGCCGTCGTAGCGGCAGGAGAAGACAGTGTCTGCCGCGGCTGTGGTGGCCGTCCTCGTGGGCAGCAGGCCCAGAACGTTCACGCGGTGCAAGTGGTACCACTCCCGGGTGGCCACCACGCCGGAGGAGTAGGCCTGTTGGGTGCAGTCGCCACTGGTGCTGTTACACTGGGCGGCACGGGGTCAGCGTGGGGCTCCGACCTGCCCCATCCCATGCAGACCTCCCAGGGCTGGGACACTCACCAGTTTGCAGCCCACTCTGTTCTGGACCCCCAGGGGGCTCAGCCTTGGAGGTGGATCCCGCGGTCCAGCTGGAAGGTGGGCTCGGGGCCCAGGGCCTCGGCCCCCGGGGCGTCCACGCTGTCGCTGAAGTTGAACCCACACAGGGAGTAGATGTTCTGCCGGGCAAAGTTGCCCAGCGCCCGCAGGGGGCCGCGGGCTGGGTGTGGCCTGGGGGCAGGGCCAGGGTGGGGGGCAGCAGAGTCAGAGCCAGGCCCCGAGTCCCCACGACAGCCACGCACACTGCGGGGAGAGCCACACTGGTCCTCATGGCACTGACCTGGGTGTCGCAGAGAGCAGAGTGGCCCCCACCCCCCGCCGTCCTCAGAAGCCTAGGAGGGGGTTCGGGAGCTGGGGGCTGCAGAGGGAAGTCAGATCCCTGGCCTGCCTGCCCCGCCCACCGTGGACCCCGCCACCCTCTGGCTCGTTCACGGCCCCTCCCTGTCTTTGGAGTGTTGCCCTGCTCGCTTCTCGGGGGGCCTGCCCTTCTGGAAAGTCCCCTGCCACCCTCCCCTCCCCCTCCCCGGGCTGCCCAGCGCCTCGGCGTCCCTCCAGGTGGCAGTGGTCACACCAAGATTCCGCCGGCTCTTCTTGCCCTTTAGCCCGCTCCCGGGTCTCAGGGCTGGGGAAGGCAAGTCGTCCACGATGGGGGCTCCCGCTGTGACCGCACGTGGGGAGGGGCCCCCAAGCTGGCTGCAGCCCTCACCGGTGCGGGTTCATGTCGCACAGGGTGACCGACAGGAAGAGCTTGCGCTGCGCTGCGCTCCGAGTATACAGACACCGTCGTGATGACCGGGTAGAGCCAGTACTGCCCGAAGAGGAGTCCGAGCTGCCAGCAGAGCACGCCCAGGGCCCGCGCGAGCCGCAGCCCCCAGGACGCAGTCTTGAGGCAGTTCTGGCTGGAGCACACAAGGCGGATGGCGCTGTGGATGGTGCTGTTGGTGCGGAAGGTGGCGACCAGCTCCCTCAACGAGGCGCGCAGCTCCACCAGCCTCTCCCCACGCCCCTCCTCGGGCGGGGGCGGTGGTGGCGACGGCAGCAGCTGGGGGCACGTTCGGGTCCCCGGCCCCCCACCAGCTGCTTGGGCCACGGCTCCAACCTGAATCCCAGAAGCGAGCCTCAGTGGGGTCCCAGCCCACCGTCCGGTCTGACCCCACCCAGGTGTCCCCACCCGGGGCCATGCCATCGACTTCCATTCTCTGTCCCTGGGAACTCCCGGGACCGTCGCGTCCCTCAGCCTCCAGTGGCCCAGCTCGGCCTGCTGATGCCCAAGAGAGGCTCCATCAGAAGCTGGTCCATACTTGGGACCGACGCTGCGGCCCTCCCCTGTGATGACCGGCAGGGAACCAGGCGGCCTCCGCGGGTGTGTCTTGTCATGGCCAGAGCCGAGCCTGGGCGGTGGGGCAGGGACAGCAGGGGACATGGTGTTCAGGCCACGCCTGGCCTTGTCTGCAGGCAGGCTCGAGGCTGGGTGGGTCTCTGCTGCCATCTGCCAAGTGGGCCAGGGGCCTCTGGTGAGGGGCAGCCAGGTGACCTGCTCAGGGTGGGCCTAGAGCCCAGTGCTGAGGATTGACGGGACTCTGGGCCTCAACGGCCTCCACCAACCCTCAGCGGCCAGCATGGCCACTTTGACTGGGGCCGATGGAGCCAGGCAGGTCTGGCCACATCTGGGCCAGGGGTCAGACCTGTAGACTGGTGGGCGCTGCTGGCCTGGGGTGGGGCGTCGTCCACCGAGCTGAGTCCCCAGGGATGGTCCATTCGTGGGCCTCGGGCTTCCGGAAAAGTAGGCAGCAGGCTGATGGGCCAGACGTGGTGGGGATCTGAGGGCCGCAAGGAGGTGGGCCCGAGGCCTGCCTGGCCCCCATTCCCACCCGGAGGCTCCAGCGTCCCAGGACCCAGGTCCCCCAGTGCGCAGGGCCGTGGAGCCCTGACCAGGTCAGGCCTGCCGGTCCAGGACACGCACTGAGTCACTGCCCGGGCCTACTGCGGACTTCCCACAATGTCCCCATCTTGGTCTGAATTGTTAGGCCTCTCACACTTGGGGTGCAGCCCCCTGGGTTCTGGCCCTCCAGCCAATGGGGCCTGGGCTGGCGCTTGGGGAGGGCGCTGAGCCAGAGGAAGGGCCTGGTGCATTCAGCTGGTACGTGCAGGCACCCTAGCGCCTGCCAGCTGTGTGGGGCCCAGGCCTCGGGTTTGTGGAGGTGGCCTGGCCAGGGGCACATGCCAGCACGGGGTGCTGATGGCGGGTCCCACACGGGACAGAGCGCTGCCCACACGTGTGTCCCGTGATCACACTGAGCCCTCACAGGGAAGGCAGGACCCTCAGCCCTGTGATACTGGCGAGGCAAAAGGGGCTCCAGAAGGTTCTATGGGACTCCGTACTGGCCGCCTCCCACCCCAGCTGGAGCTGGCGGGGCAGGAGGAGGGTGGCTCTGGAGACCCAGGCACCTCCAGGGTTTCCTGAGACGGGGAGCGGGGTCCTGACACTGGGGCGGATGCGCTGGGGTGAGTGTGGGCACCGCTGGTCCCTGACGCCTCAGCTGCAGCAGGAACAGGGGTGCATGGCCCCTTCACGCAGCACACGCACACACACACACTTGCACGAACACACACTCCTCTCACACACAGCAAGCCCTCTGTCAGTGGGGGTGGCGTGATGAAGGTGTGGACAGGAGCCCCTGCCCTCTCACGTGGGACGTGGCCCCTCCGCTTCAGGCAGGGGAGACCCGGAGAGGTGGCCTGCCCCAACTGCCCCGGTCACAGGCCACCTCGGGCACCCCTGGGACCTTGAGGCTGGAGCCTCACTGTGTGGGTGCCTCCAACCTCCCGTGCTGGGTGGCTGCGACAGTGGCGGTGCTGGTGGCGGTTCTAGCAGGTGACAAAGCAGGCCGTGGCCCAATGCTGGCCAGGCAGCCTCCTATTTATAACAGGCTGGGCGTGGGACGTGGCGGTGGGGAGGGACCCAGCTGGGGGCAGTCACACCTGCTCTGGTCCTGGAAGGGGAAGCCTTTGGCTGCAGGCACCGGCGTCTTTCCCCGGTGGGAAGCTTTCCTGCCCCGGTTCCTCGCGCCAGGCTTGGGGCCCTGGCCCTGGCTGGGGTGAGGGGCCCGAGGTTTCTGGAGGGCGAGGAGGGACCCCGCTGCAGCAGACCCTGCATGCCCCCTGCCCTGTCCACTCTCCTCCAGCCTGGCCTGCAAGGATGCCTGCTCACCTCCACCTGCCAGGCCTCTGACCACAGGTGTTTGTGGCCAAGGGTCGCTGGGCAGGGGCCTTCATTCCCAGAACACAGGGGTCTGCCAGGGCTGGCTGCCCAGCCCCTGGGACAGGCGGGGACTGTGGGAAGGAGCTGGGGCCCAGGTGGGAGATGGCGCCCACAGCTCAGCCTCCCAGGAGATACTAAGACCACGCACCACCCACAAAGATGGCACCACACCCTAGGGACACACCATCTCGGATGCTGAAACCCTCGGCCTCAGTGTGGTTGCATGAGGCCAGCCAGTGTGCTGGAGGCAGAACAGCCCCAGGGTGACATGCCGGGGGACCCAACATGGCTCTAGGATGACTCAGAGGCCTCGTCATCCCAAGTGACCGGACCCTCAGCCTGGTCCCAGGCTTGAGGGGTCGGCTCAGGCCCTCTGCCCCTCCCAACACAGGCTCTGGGTTCCTGACACCCCACCCCAAATTGGTGCTGAGGACACGGGCTGAGAGGAGGGAGGAAGCCCCCACCTCCACCAGACCCTTCTGGTGGGGCCTTGGCTCTGAGGAGGTGTGAGGTCACCAGCCTCGTGGCTTTGGAAGGAGGCAGATGGCCACAGGAGACCCCTGGGAGAGGGAAGTCACGCTTGAGGAAGAGCTGGCCCTGGACTCATCTGGGCGTGAGTGCGAATCACAGCTTTGCCACTCATCGACTGTATGACGTTGCCCAAGTTACTCAACCTCTCTGAGCCCGTTTCCTCAGGTACAAAGTGGGATTAAGTTTCCTCGAGGCTCAGAGGTGAGACCAACTGATGTCACTGGGCCAGTGTCAGAGCCCCTCCTTCCTCCTCCTGAGGCGGCCACCCCAGAGCCTGCCTTTGGGAGGGCAGAGACACAGAGACTGCGTCCAGTGGCAGCGAGGCCAGCAGCCCCCTCCTCCCTTCTGGGCCCGTGCCCTCGCCTGCCTCACCAGGCCCCTCCGGTCCCCGGAGGAGCAGTAGGTGGTGTCTGGGGTGGGACAGGGCTTCCCCAGCTCCCTTGACGGCTGTATGTTGAAAGGATTAGAGAAGGGAAAGGCGGAGGGCCCCCGTCCCCCGCCCTCTCCCCAGAAGGACAGCTGGCCCTAGCCTTCAAGTGGTGGCCTTCACCGAGGCTGGGCCTAGAGGCACCAAGGCGTCCCTTTGCAGGCCGGGGCTGCCCTGCAGACTGCGGGTGCCTGGGCTCCACCTCCACCCTCAGGGACAGCTCAGAGTTGGCCCTGGGGGAATTCCAGTGCAACAGACGTGAAGTCTGAGCTCATGGGCTCTGCACGTGTGTGCGGTATTCCTGGGGGGGTGGGCAGGTGGGGGCATCCTCCCCGCCCTGGAGCTGGACCATCTGGAGTTCATGCCCGCTAGAGGGTAAGGGGCCTCCTCAGTGCAACCGCAGAAACTCTCCATCCCCCGGGCATTGACCGCAGTGGCAGGCAGGGGCTCCTGCCACCACAGAGGGGCTCTGGCTGGCTGCGGTGGGCAGAGTGCGTGACGCTGCCCGTGTGGGGCTCAGGGTCCGGCCGTGGGTCTGCCCCACACCTGCGCTTGAAACACTCTGGTACCTCAGGGTGGCCTCCCTTGTAGAACTCTCCGTGAGCTAGAAACAGCTGGGCCCACCCTGTGTGGGGATGGCAGAGCCCGGGTTGGGGGGAAGGCGGGGGAGTGAAGGGCAGGCTGCGCTATTTCCTGAGCGTGGCAGCAGGAGGCGGGGCCTGGGGACTGCCAGCCTCCCCAGGAGGAGGGCGGGCCAGCGCCGGGGGACACTGGGGGCCAGAGACGTAGCAGGCTGGCTCCCACGGGCCGACTCGTGCTGGTGCTGGGCCGAGGGACGACGGGCACTCCTTCTGCTTCTCCCCTGGGCCAGGGGCCAGCCCTGCAGTGGCCGCTCAGATCCTGCCTGAGGTGCCCTGGGTGGGCCAGACTCGGGGGTGAGCGTGGCCGCCCTCCCGCCCTCTGCCAGTGGCCACGGCTACACCCGTCAGGGCTTGGAGTCCACCGTCAATCGCCACGTGGTCAGTTACCCCGTTGACCGGTGGTCTATTCCGAGAGGCAGTCAGGGTCGTGGTCAGGGGTGAGAACTTGGGGTCTGAACCGCAGCTCTGCTGCACGGAGCCCTGTACTCTGCCCAGCGACGGCCCCTCCAGATGGGTCCTGGCTGACGAGCACCACCAGCCTCACAGCCAAGCCGGCAATGGCACAGCCTGTGTGGGCACCCCCAGCCCCACTCACCAGGAAGGGTAGTGTGTCGGCCTGCCCAGCTGCCCAGCCCTCCCTTTTCCAGAACCCCACCTGTGTGCCATCCTCACGTGCCCCCCAGTGTTCCCCAAGGCAGATGTGAGGTGCACACGACACCTCCAGGCCCCGTGGTCAGGGCTGTCTTGATGCTGTCCCGGTGGCAGCACCCTCTGCCCCCCGCGGCCTTCCCTGGCCGCCCCACCGCCCTGCTCTGCCTCCCCCTCCCCCAGGGCCAGAGAGGGGGCCGTGGGAGCGGAAAGCCAGCCTCAGTGCGGCATCCACGGTGCATAATGACCTTATTGATGGGCTGGGTGGAAAATTCGGTCGGGAAACAGTGCAACACTTTTTATGAGGACAGCTCTCCCCCTGGGCAGGGGCTGGGCAGCCTTCCCACGGCGGACCCCACCTGGCACAGGTTCTGGCGGGGCTCCGGGTCCCACGCGTTACCGCAGCCACACAAGGCCACCCAGGACTCGATTCTCAGGGCCCCGGGTGGTTCGGTCACTGAGGCCCGGGGACGCAGAGTGCCTCCCGCGCTCTCCTGTTAAATGGGCACAAGAACTGGGCCCCCCAGTCCGCACTGGGCCGATCCTTTCAAAGGGGGCCGGCGGGAGGGTCGGCGTCCCAGAGAAGTCGGGCGGGGCTCACGCCGGCACCGCGGGGGTTACCCTCTAACAGGACCTGTCTTCCCGCGGAAGGCCGGGGGTCCTGAGGAGGGGGAACGTGCTCGGTGGGGGGGCCCGGTCCGCTGCGGCCGCTGACTCTCCCCGGGGCCGCCAGCCGGACAGCGCTGCGGCTGAAGGGTCAACCGGAGGGCCGCAGCTGTCCGACCAGACGTACAGAAGGGCTCGGGCCCCGCCCCGCGAGGCTGCAAGCCACTGCCCATGCGCCTACTGTTTCCGCTTCCTGGGGAGGGTGGCGGCTGCGAGACGCAGGCGACGTCCGCCCGGCAGCCTAGAGAGGTCGCCCCCCGGCTAACCGCGCCCCGGAACCGGAAGCGTGGATAACCCCGCCCCGCGAACGGCCATCTTGGAAGCAGAGGCGGAGGCGGCGGCGGCGGCGGCAGCGGCGGCGGTCGGGGTGTGCTCGGTCCTGGCGCGGTGCAGCTGTGCGGCGCGGGCCCCACTCTCTCGCTCCCTGCTCTGGCCTCGAGCACGGCGAGCCTGAGCGCGGCGGCGGCCCACGCGCTGCGACGGGGAGAGGTGAGCACGCGCCGCGGGCCTGTGCCGGGGCCTCGGCCGCGCGTCCGCCCCGCCGGAGCCGGCCCGAGCGGCGGGCGGGGGGCGCAGGGCCTCCGCACGGCCCATCCCCACCCCGTCCGCGCTCGCGGGGCCCGGCCTGGAGCTTCCGTGCGTGGAACCCGATTTCGGTTACGGCGGGGCGCCCGGGGCTCCGGGTCGGCTCTTTCTCCCTCCGGCCAACTTGGGGATTCGGGTGGTTACACGGTTGGCGTCCCACGGAAAGGCCTTCCCTTAGTGGCACACTTGCGGCCGCCGTCAGGACGGGCCGGCGTAGAGCTTGGTTCGTAAAGTGTCCTGGGAATCCGTGTTGGGATGGGGTGACTGCCGTCCAGCCCGCCGCCGCTTCATCCCCGAGCAGTTAGGACCCCAGACCGCCCCTTATGTCCCCCCAGCAGTGAGCGTGCCTGGTTGACGCCCTTGGGGTGGTAACTGAGAGAAAATCCGGGCGGTCAGAGTGGGAAGCTCCACGCCGGGCGGCCGGAGTGGGCCCTGGGCCGGCTCCTCGCCTGTGCACGCCCGCTCTCTCGTCTGGCCATGTGTAAGCGTCTCGCCCCTTTTCCAGTTAGTACCACTTAGTTGGTCTATGTTTAGTTCCCATCCATTCCCGACCGCACGCGGGCCCAGGCATGAAACACTTAGAGAGGTCAGGCCCCAGCCGGTGGAGGGGGCGGCGAGCGGAGCTAGTGAGGGCGGTGGTCGGGGCTCTGTTCTTTGGAGGTGCGGGGCCCTCGGTGTAGGCTCGTTTTCGCGGAGAGGAACTTAAGGGTCTCGCTTGATTGAAAGGTCCCGCGTGTCTGCAGGCATCGTTGGATCTCGGCACCTAGAACTGGCGCTCAGTCATCCGCACACTTTGGCCGCGCCGATCTCTGGCAGGTGCGGGAGTGGCGGCGGGGCGGCCCCCATCAGCCCCGGGCCTCCGTCCAGCCTGTGAAGCAACCTTGCTGGTGAAGGGAGAGAATTCCGTGCGAGTCCCGGGCACGGGTGTGTCACGTGCCCTCTGGCGGGTCAGGCCAAGGTCTCGTGCCGCACAGTCACTGGAGTACGCAGCCGCCGAGCGGGAGAAAGGGGCGGGCGGCACGTCTGTCCCCGCGGTCCCGGAGGGACTTGTGCCCGAGACGTCGCCTCGGGCTGCCCGCCTTCAGCTTCTCTGCCCTGCAGTTTTGTGCACGGGCCCTGTTTCTTGTTCTGTTCTGTTTTTGAACGTCTGCGCCCTGTTTACTTCAGTGTGACACGCGTTACATGCTCTCTCCGTGGGGACGTGGCCTGAAGGGCCCTTGAGGAGCGCTTCATGGCCTGTGGAGGCGCCTGGTCTGTGCGCACGGGCGGGTTGGGAGAGGCCGGCTCACCGGAAGTCACCCGGAGGGGCCTGAGGGCGCTGCGCAGAGGGAGCCCTTTCCTTTGAGGGACCCGGTAGCTGGATTGTAAGTCGGCTTTGGAAGCAAAGCGAGAGAAAAGTCCATTTGTGCCCAGGCGGGCAGGATCTGTTTTATTTATTTTCTGTGGCCGTGTGCTACCCTCTGTGAAGCACCCAGCTGGCCGCTTGACTGAGGCCCGCACGGCTGTATCTGAATTACCCAGTGAGCCGGTTTGTGTCGGCAGAGTTAACTTTACGGTGAGCAGTTAAAGGAAACGAGTCCTGGGTGGTGGCCCTACTTTTGGACTGTCGCTGTGTTTGTCACTACACATCGCCCTGGTCCCTTTGGCTTCTCCGGCCTTTGGGGCGGTGCTGCGGAGGGAGTGCTCCCCCCAGGCTGGTCTAGCCACCTGCGAGGGCACAACAGCCAGTGATGTCTGCTGGGGCCTGGCGGGCACCTGTGCGGAGCGGAGCTGGGTGGCATGGAGGCGCTTGACCAGGGCCTCGGCGAGTTGTCTGCCAGTAGAGGCTGGAGCGGGAAGCGGCCGTGTGGCTGGGATGAGGACGGGGTCGGCTCAGGCCGTCTCGGGGGCCCTGGGAGTCGGGCGCTAGAGGGCGGTCTGGGGCTGCTCCTGAGAGCTCTTGGCACGTGGTGGAGGTGTTGACGTTTATTTGCTTAGTTCTGGGTGCCTCCTGAAGGGCTGCGATCAGAATTGTGCGACGAGAAGTCATCTGACTTCAGCGAACAGGATGGACTGAAATGGAGGGAGACTGCGAGCCGGGAGGCTGGGCGGAAGTCTCGAGGTCTCTGACGGACAGAGCAGCGGGCCCTGCATCAGGGGCGTGTGGTGGGGCTCGGGAGAGTGGGGGTGAATGGGGATCCGAGGTTTAGGGGCCCCAGAGTAGGAAGCAGGGCTGCGCTGTGATGCGTGTGGCGGGACCACTGCGGGTACCCCGGGGGTGCAGAGTGAGACAGCGAGCCCTGGTCGTCGTCTGGTGGGGAGGCTACTCTGAGGAGGATCCCACTGGGCAGGAGTCCATGGCCTCTGGTGCAGCGACGTGGGCAGAGGCTGATGGGAGGGAAGGGGCATGCAGAGGCCCCGGGCTGGGGTGAGGCGGGGAGTGGCTCCAGGTGGAGATCCTGGCCACTGTCGTCCCGGTGCTGCAGCGGGACAGGTTGGGAACACGGGCAGAGTGACTCCTCCCTCACTGCCCCCCCCCCCCGTCCAGTTGGCCTCTCTTCTAGCCTGCACACTCCCGTCCATCCTGAGCTGCACACCCTGGTGTGCTCTCTGTCTCCACCATGTTTTACCCCAGTGGCTTTTGTGCTTTATTTTTAGCAGTAGAACTTTTTTGCTTTTGTACCTTACGTTGTGAGAAATTCCTGGTAGGTTAAGTGGATCGAGCTGGAGCCGCTGTGGTGCCCGTGAGAGTGGGGAACCTTGTCTTGCGCGTCCCCATCCCGCCCTCCCGCCTCTGGGGCAGAGCTGAGGTGTCCCAGGGCCCCCTCAGGTCTCTTGCCTTGAATGATGCCTGCTCCCTCCTTCCCTGTCCACAGCCTTCAGTGCTGTCCTGCGCCATCCTGTATGTCCCATGGTGTCCCATCCATCCTTTGCTGGGCCACCAGTGTGGCCTTTCTAACAGAAGATCTGATGTGCCTTAAGGTTTGGGCCTAAAATCCTTGTGGGCACCGCTTGATGGCCCGGCCTCGCATCCCTGGTTGGCCTCATTGGCCGCTGTTCACCGTGTTTGGCTCCTGCCGCGGTGACCCAGTGCTGTGTCCTGGACACAGGACACTTCCTTATCTCTGCCTGTCCAGCTGCCGCTTCCTGAGTCTCTCTGGGGTCCCCATCTCTCTCTCCAGTCCCAGAAAGAGGCTCTTCCTCTGCTCCTCTGTTGCTCCCACCCACCTGTGACCAGTGGTAGGTGTGCTGGAAAATGTTTAACAGCGGGCTTCGGTGGGCGGTGGCGGGGGAGTGGCACCACCCAGCACGGCACTGGGGAGATGCTCACGTGGCAGGCGGTCAGGGCCTCCTCCCGCAACCCTTGCAGATAGAGCTCTCTCTCCCCGTGGAGGTTCTTTGAAAACAGGAGTGTGGCTGCAGGGTTTTTCTTAACCTTTCTGTCGGACGATGTCGTGTCAGCGAAGATCCTAGCAGGCAGACAGGAAAGGGGACTCCGCGAGGCCCGCGGGTGTCTGAGGGTTCAGGCAAGTCAGCGTGGCCCATGAGCCTTGACTCTGGGTGGCGGAGGCCGCCTGTAGGGAGGGCGGCAGGGGACACCTCTGTTCTCGTCAGCATAGACCTTTGTCTTCCACAGATGAGCAGCAACAGCGCTAAGAGAGCACCCACAACAGCGACGCAGCGCCTGAAGCAGGACTACCTCCGGATTAAGAAAGACCCCGTGCCTTACATCTGTGCCGAGCCCCTCCCTTCCAACATCCTTGAGTGGTAAGGCTCTGCATCCTCCTTCGCCCACACCACCCGTCACCCGGCTTCTCGGGCTGGGCTGTGTGGGCCGGATGGGCCATCTCGGCGCGGGGAAGGGGCTCCTGTACCCTTGGCAGGTGTGAGTGGACTGTGAGGCCTGTGGACGCTGCCCGGTTGTCTTCACGATGGGCAGCAGCTGGGGGTGTGGTGGGCTGTCCTTGACCCCTGCCTGCTGGGGCCAGAGAGAAGGTCCTTCCTGGGGGAGGCTTTGGGGCCTGCAGGCCTCACGGCTGTTGGAGAAGCTACACGTTTAGACTCTCCTTCTCTGCTCTTTGCTTCTTGGTGCTGTGAGGCGCCCTGTCTTACTTTGGCGAGTTGGTGACGGGGGGACGGGTCCTGATGCTCCAGCTCTGTGTTTTGGGAATATGCATTTCATAGTGACTGTCGCCGTGTTGTAGAAGAGCTGCTCCTACCAGGTTTGCTGGTGATTTTGTGAGAGACAAAGTGTAGGGCTGAAATATTAAGGAGTGTTTTCTCCTTGTTATGTTTTGTTCTTAACAAATACTTAAAAAATTTTTTGAAATCCAGAGAAAAGAGATCTGAGTTAAAAAGCATTTTCCAGGTTGGACAGGTATTCGAGGATTCTGGGTCTGCGTTCCTCCCTTGGCTCGCAGAGAAGGGCCAGCACTGGCAGGTGGGGTGGAGGGTCTCAGCGGGGAGACTGGCCTTGGCATGTGGGGGAGGCATCAGTGTCGCAGCAGAGCTCTCCCTGTCCCCAGACGACAAAAACCAAGCGTGGCCCCCAGGACGTAGTCGGCAGGTGGACAGATGGGCTCCATGGCAGTCTAGGGGAACATCCTCATTGTGTGGGCCCCTGCTGCATGTGAGTCGAGTCGGGTCCTACGCTCCATCATTCGTTAGGACCCGCTGCAAAGGAAGAGGCGCAGGGCAGAGTCCATTGGAGACCGGACACAAGCTTCCCCTCCCCTGTGGCCAGCTGTGACAAGCCCTGTGAGGTGTATCCACCAGGGAAACCCTTTCGGGACTGAGCACCAGGGATTTCAGTGGGGTGGGTCACGGGCACCTCTGCCTGGTGCCCGCCAGTGTTCCAGACGCCCAGCAGGACAGCAGGCTTCCCTTCAGCACTAAGTACGTTTTTTGCACAAATAGTTGAGATGCATTGGGGTGATGAGAACCCCTTGGAATCCAGTTCCCAGACGCTGGCTGAGGACAGCAGTGTCAGGCCTGCTGCGTGGGCTCTTCTGCTCAGCTGTGGGTGTCTGTCGCTTCAGCTGGGAGAAGAGCGCGTTTTTTTGGAAGATGCCTGTCCTCCAAGCCTTCCTTGCTCTGCTGCCCCAGGGCTGCTGGGCGCTCTCAGAGCCCTGCTCACCGGCCCTTCCCGGTGTCCTCAGATTGGGCACAGGAATTGGGAGCAGTAACAAATTAAGGCCACGTTCCTTGGTGTGTTCCTGGTCTGCTGACACAGGACGACAGTATTTTTTGAGTCGGATGTTATCGCAGCGTCCTGGTGGGAAGCAGTGCCCAAAGGGGCGGTTACTGACCTGTGCTCAGTGTGTCTGGTGTGGTATTTTTGGTTAGGTCTACATTCTTCTTTGTGCTTTTCTGTCTTCTTTGAAGATTCATTAGCTCAGGGACTTCCCTGGCGGTCCAGTGGTTAGGACTCTGCGCTCTCACTGCTGAGGGCCCAGGTTTCAGCCCTTCATCGGGGAACTAAGATCCCACTAGCTGAGAGTTGTGGCCAAAAAAAAAAAAAAATTCATAAGCTCAAATGCTTCTTGACGTAGAGATGAAGCCTCGTTTATTCACGTGGAGAGCAGAGTCCATGGCGGCTGGTGCTCCTGGACTGAGGCTCTCTGTGTGTGAGGACTTTGGTGACAGTCACGGGCTGTCCCTGTCCCTCCTGCTGGAGGGCAGCTGCTCTGAGGTCGAGTCTGGTTCTTCCAGGACGTCAGGGCCGGGGACCCAGCCTCTGCGTGTCTCCAGCTGTTCCCGGGTTAGCTACTGCGTGATATTTGGGCATGCTGAAAAATACCAGATTTCAGGTACGTCTCAAGAATAAATTGTGAAGTTAATTTTTTTTTTTTTTTTTGCTGTACGCGGGCCTCTCACTGTTGTGGCCTCTCCCGTTGTGGAGCACAGGCTCCGGACGCGCAGGCTCAGCGACCATGGCTCACGGGCCCAGCCGCTCCGCG